AAGAGAGGAGATGATGGAGTGTAAATACTGAAATCTGATTGGCTGCTGAGGGCCATTATTCCTGATTTAGTAGTTCCAGTGAAAACCGTCTTTTCACCGCTGAAATAACTGAATGATATACATTTGGAGATGAGATTTTGCTCGTATTTTACAGCCCTACCAGGCTTTTTATTCTTTTTTTTACACTTTCATATTCCTGCTACGCCAATAAATTTGATTTTATTACCCCTGTTTATTTAAAAAAAAACTCCCCCCCAGGTGACCTTTCCTATCATGTTAAACTGTGACTTTTGGGGCGATCACTCCCACGAAAACCCTGTTTGCTGTTCGCCCTAAATGCACCAACGGTTGGTTTTCCAGCAGCCTGGAATAAGCATTTATTTTGAAGAGTCCAGATCGCGTACCATTTGGCAAAAGCACCCTGCATCGATTGCTTCATCCGCTGGATGTGCCACACCTTCCTCATACTCGCTGGATCGGAACACGCTTATAATTCCCCCCAGAGGAACTTTTACCTCATTTCATTAGGAGTGAGCCCGTAAAGGAGCAACCTTTAATGAAGTTTGATGATCTTCGTGTGTTTCTCAGGAGAGGGGAGAGAACAGCCAGCCAATGAAGAGGAAGGATCATCAACGCTTCATTCGATGACGTTCCTGAAGGACGATGACAAAAACATTGACGGTTATATAGATTACGCAGGTTTGCCAAAATCACTGAGTAAGACGGTCGCCTGACGCCCGACAGGTCTTCGTGTCCACGCACCAAGGACCAGAGGGTCCAACTGAGAAGCTGCCCATCAAAAACCCATTTGTTTAATTCTGCCCCTTTCTCCCCTCCACGAGGCGATCATCAACAGTTATTGGATTTATGAAGGAATTATTTTCGTACTTTGCTGAGCTTGTGATACTTGCTTATTTCATGTATCGCCAGGCTGGTAGCAGGGCGTAAACTGGTTTATGTGCAGGAGGAAATGACCCTTGTATGACCTCTGCAGCCTTCTTCCTGCGTAGGTTTGTAAAGGGTCCAGTTCACCCCAAAATCACTTAAAATCCCAACCACTGCTCTTGAAAAGTGTCCACATGGAGGAAGTCACACACAGAAACAGGCATAGAGAAATCTGGTACAATTTTCAAAATAAAATACCTACATCAAAGCAGGCACGAAGTCGGTCCAGTCCAGTAGGTCAGGTTAGAGGAGGTTTTAAGTGGAGAAACACATTGTTTTGTTTCCTTTTTTAAGGTGAAATACTTAAGTAAAGCAGCGTATGTGCGGCCAACGCACTCTGAAACGCAGCAAGGGTCATGGAAGCCATCAGACGTTTAATAAGCTGGGATTTCAAGTTTTGACGCTTTGTCCTAATTCTTCTTTAGAATTTGAACCCTCTTAAATTAATATTCATTATAAAGAATGTTTAAACTCCGAATATGGACACGTTGGAGCACCAAAAGAGTTTCTTAGTGATTTTGGATGAATTGACTCTTTAATTACGTGCAGAACTTCTGAGCAGGCGTGTGTTCCCTCCTTTTAGTGGTGCTCTGTTGATTCCTCTTTGGTAGCTTCTGACCAGAATGTCGTCACATTTTGAAGACGTGTTTCAGTGAGCGATCTCGACATTGGTGGAGCCAAGACGATTCCTTCTGGAGAATCGCCTTTCATTGCTGTCTGTGATGAGGAGGAGACAATCGCTGCATCACACTGGAAAAGTGGCCTTGACTCCGCTCACATGTACAGTTATACCCTACGTAGTTTGTGTGTGTGTGTGTTGTGTGTGTGTGTGTGTGTGTGTGTGTATATAGAGTGTAGAAGTTTATTTTGGTGGGACGCAGGAACAACACAATATTGACTGTTGCCAGCATTGTGGCACGTCGGCGTTTCCTCCTGAGGTTGCTGTTGTTTTCATGAAGATTACCACAATTCTATGAGCCAATCCCCATCGTCCTCACTGTAGTCTGTCAGCCGGCAGACGCTTCAAAAAATCATAGAGTGAATGTAAAGCGGCACCACGCTGCTGATTCTTTACCACTGGATAAGCTCGACTTAAAGCACACTGGTTGATGCCGCTGCCGCTGCAGTGGTTTAAAGGATGACCTCCAGTAAAGCACTTGTTATAAACCATTGAACACAATATGTTTGCTTCAGATCATTCGCTGCCTTTTAAACAGATGTCAGGTCTCTCCGCGTGTGTGTCGACGTTTGTCGAATGCATCTGTGATTCTTTCTAAAGTGATTTCGTATGGATGAATTCTATATTTTTGCCATCAGTATTGATTCTTCAATCATTCAGGTTGTTGAATGGAAAAAAAACTGAAAGCATAACAGATGCAACTGTGTTGTCTCTGGAATGTGAAATATTAAAAACTGTAATCTACACTCTTTGACCTGTGATGTGTTTCTTTTTATATTTATTTATATATAATATATATATATATATATATATATATAACAGCTATTCTCTATATAAAGATAGCCTCTCTGTGGTTTGTTTCCATAGCCGGTCTGCTCCAACTGAAACTGCTGTTTTTACCTCTATCTAGGTAAAATTAGTGTTTTCTGCTGGAGAGTGAAATGACAGCTGGGTAAACTAAAGGTCTATCTCTGTAGGGATCATTTCCATAATGCTGTCAGACACTGAGAATAACAATATGAGTCTGTTACTGGCAAAAGTAAGATCTAATAGTGGATGTATTTGATGGGCGGATTTGTCCCCGAGGACTAATGTTAGCTTTCGTTGCACAAATACTTTTACATCTAACTCTGAATTAAGGGTTTATTTAGAACAAACCAGTGTTAGTGATTGTTGGAAAGGCTACCAAAGACTGATTCTGTCCCCTTTGAATGAAGTTAAGATGTTACAATGCTATGTGAGTTAAAATTACTGCATTTGTCTATAGTGTCTATGTGTTGATTGCGATATTGCGACTGTTTCTGAGATGTTGGTGTTCTACGGCGACATCCAGTGGTGAATCAAGTGAATGTCATTTATGTAACCTCTAATGAATTGTAGTGAAGAGCACATTGCATTCATGAAACCACATTTAAAGGGCAATGCAAAGAAATCAATCTTTATTTGTTAAATGTACTGAGAAGACAACCAAGTTTCATGTACAGACAACTTCTCAAGAGATTGTGTAGATTAACATTTCCCCTTAAATGTGTAAAATGGTGCACAGTACATGTGCACTCAGTATTAATATTAGCAGTGGATGTTGAGGAGAACAATACTCAGTTGAAAGTATGTTTTGATATATGTGTCTGGGAACAATAATCCTTTGAAAACCAGACTGAAAGTGAAGAAAAGGGCTGTTCAGAGTGTCAAAATAAAATCTGTGCACAAATGATACCAATGGAGAGGTTACACAAAGACTGAGGACCAGAAAGAGGTGCTTCTGTGAACATTTGAGAGCAAATTCATAACAGAAATCAGCACTCAGTGTTCCCACGCTGTGTGTGACACTTACGTGACGTTTAGTCAACATCGGGGCCAGAATTTGCACTTAAATGTGTGTTTAATCACAGTGTGGTGGATGAAAAGGAACACTCAGTTTTCTGCATCTGAATAGAGATTTAAAATGATGTATTATTGGACTTTAAACTGGATTCTGTTGCTTCTTAGCTCCAGTGAGACGCAGCGTCCAGAGGCTGCATGGAGGCCAGGGAGAACATGGGTGAGGCGAGGTTGCTCCTCAGCGGGCTGTACCAGTCTTCGTGCTGCCGCTGGGTTGCTGGCGGGGGCGGAACGCTGGGGCAGGGGCACTGGCTGACCGGGCCCGGGTGGCGGGAGTACGCACCGGAGGGAAGCATGGGGGAGAGGCGGGGTATGTGAGCCAGTGGCTGGGTGTAGTACTGTCGAGCCATGGACTGCTGGACGTGCATGCCCCCCAGCAGCGCCCTGTGGCCTGGCATCACACCCACCGGGAGAGCTTTCTGCGAGGCCCGCTCCTGCTTCCGCTGCTTGGCTCTTCTGTTCTGAAACCAAACCTGCTGACAAGGACGGGTTAGGGACAAGGACGGGTTAGGGATATGGACGGGTTAGGGACAAGGACGGGTTAGGGACAAGGACGGGTTAGAGGACCTCATCAATGTGGGCGTGGCTTAAATTCAGAGAGAGACTGTTTGGCTTGTTTTCAGACAAAGTGAACCAGCAGATGAATTGAACTCTTAAGAGGCTTTGAGGTGAATTTAAACTGTCCAACTACTGCATAACGGCATGTAGTTTCTGCTCACATTTCAAAATAAAATGCACAACATCATATTTATGTACCTTTCAAGCGAAGTGGGACACACTGAAAGTATATTTTGATATATGTGTCTGGGAACAATAATCCTTTGAAAACCAGACTGAAAGTGAAGAAAAGGGCTGTTCAGAGTGTCAAAATAAAATCTGTGCACAAATGATACCAATGGAGAGGTTACACAAAGACTGAGGATCATCATATCACATCATATTTATGTACCTTTCAAGCGAAGTGGGACACACTTAATCCAGTTACAGGGATAAAGTGAATTACAATATTATGTATTCAGTTCGCACTGATATGAAAAAGCTGGAACCATTAATTGACATAAATGCCAATTACAAAAACTACCAGGTTGCACCACATTGTCAGGTCTGCTAGCATTTTCTAGGACCCTTCTGACAAAAACTACTATCATAAGACAACATAAATATCTGTGTTATTGCACTAAAGTTATTTGTTTCTTTAGTCACTGTTTTTGTTTTGGTTATTTTTTGGTTATGAGGTTCTTTTTCTAAATGTAGAATGCAGATATGCCAGTTTTATTCCAGTTGAAAATGACATAAAGTGAGAAGTTTTGGTGTAATACCCTGTGAATATCAGTCTGACTGTAATGGTAATGTGAGGGCTGTCCCACCTGTATGCGAGCCTCATTGAGCTTGGTGATGCGGGCCAGCTCCTCTCTGTAGTAGATGTCAGGATACTGGTTTTGCCCAAAGGCCACCTCCAGCTGCTCCAGCTGCTTGTGGCTGAAGGTGGTGCGGTGGCGTCTCCTGGCCGGGGAGGGGTAGGCTCTGCTGCGCCTGCCAAGGCCGACAGTCATGGAGGTCTCACACAGTGACCCCTTCCTCGCCGGCTCGCCTATATCTGTTTTCAGGAGGAAGAAAGAGAGTTTCAGGCTTTTTGCGTCGATGCTGAAAAGACTTTTTCGGAGACAATTCCACAGCTCCTGTTTCTCGTCTTCTTTGGCATGATACAAAAAAAAACTTCTTCATTTCACCAATGGCTGTCTGAAAAAAGAGGGATTACACTGACTTTATGGTTCCCACTGCCATCAGGCAACCTGAGAGCCACAGAGCTTTAGCTGCCAAAGACAAGCTCGTGAGAAAAAGATACCAGAAACTGGAGGATTTGACCAAGATTATTAACACAATCCCTGACAGAGCGACTAATCTGTCAAATTGGTGGACTGAGCCGACTTTGTTTGTTCACATCGCGGTGGTTAGAGACGACACAGAGAGGGCTGCTGGGTATTAAAAGTCTATTCTTACTTACAGTTTTATTCCTCTTAATTAATTTTACCAAACCTGGTCAGAAAAGTACTTTTTTAATTACTTATTTGGATTTTAAGTTTAATTTGATTGCAAAGTACAAAACTATATACTAAGCTTTGTATACTTTTATCAGAGTAAACATTTTATATTGGTAACTTAGCGACTAATACACTCTTAGAATCAGATTAATTGGAAGTACAGTTGTTTTAGGGCTAAAAGTTGAATTTTAAAGCAGCTAAGAGGCAACATTTTGTACCAAAACAAACTTTGTTCAATTTAATTTTGATGTTTTTGATGAATTTATAAATCTAGAAATCCTCAACAACAGCTTTTAGACCTTCATGCAACATTTAACTCTCCATTAGTATGAATAGTGGGAGACCAACACTGCATCAAAGTAACAACAATAAGTAAAATAATTTATATAAAATCACTAGAAGGTAAAATTACATTGCAGGTTCCTGTTAATGTAAGTGTAGAGGAACTGCATCATCATTGGTGGATAAAATTATGGACTAATAAAATATAAACAGATTGTTATAAGTTGTACAGAAAGCGTTTTTGGTTGACTCACCTGCGCTGGAGCTGACAGTCGCCATATCAGAGTAAACCTCTGCACAGACCTGGTGGCTCCTCACTGCGTCTCCTGCTACCTTCACCTGGGCCATCGCTGCAGCTCTGATCCCCCACACAGACACCACTCAACATAAAGACACATGTGACATCCCACCCACCTGGTTCACCTTTACCTGTGTGCGAGTCTTACACACCGTTGTCCTTATGATTAAATTCTACTCTGAAACTCCAAGTTACGTCTGTGATGTCAGATGCATGCAAGAATTAAAAAAGAAGATGTGTTTAATTATCTTTTTGTTGTATCCACCAACTTTAATCTGCCTTAATACAGTGGCTCTCAACCTGGGGTTCGGGACCCCTGTTAGGGGTTGCTTAAGTTTCACAAAGGGTTTTGCTTCTAAAGAGGTGCAAGACAACGTAAGAAAACATATAAAGTAGGTATATCTATCAGCATGTTGTTCATTTCTGTGAAGACAACTTAATTAAATCATTATTTTTAAAGTTTATATTATTATTTAAGATCTAAACTTGACCTGAACACAAGCTGTATTCACACAACCTCATCCTGCATTAGAAAAGTTAAACAACCAAAGAGTTAACCGAACAAACACTTAATTTATCATAAAAGAAGCCTGTTGATTGTGGTGGTTCACTAGGAGGTCTCTAACATATTGACAATGTGCTATTTCTGTCATTCATTTCTATTTGTCTGTATCTTCATCAACATGGATCATGAGTGAAATTAGGCTTTTACTGTTGTATGATTTATCACTAATTCTAATAAAGGATGAATCTTCCACAACCAATTGAATTGTTAGAGGCGCATATCAGTAAAACTAAACTCAAAACAAACCTTCTCCGCCCTTGAGTCTCTTTATGTTATTTTCGTTTTAAGGTACACTGTAAGTCACAGTCCGGTAAAGCAATGGCTTAGAATATCAGAATAGTCCTACACTATTCGCCGAAAACAGCCTATATACATATTTAATTTATTCATAAAGAGTTTTAGCTTGCATTTTTATGTAGTTTAGAAATATTATAATTAAAGGACCTACTTCTACTTTTGCACTTTATTGTCTGTGTTTGCAATTGCACATATAGGCTTATTCTGTCTTGTATGTCCTGTCAGTCAGATTCAAGAGTTCAGATCAGATTCAGATCAGAAATACTTTAAAAATCCCAGAGGAAAAAATTTTTCTGCCGTCCCCTTTGCGTCTGTGAAGCACTTTGAAGATTTTGAACTGCACTACACTGCATGAAATTGTGCTACATAAATAAAGTTTGATTGATTGATTTCGAGCTTCTGCTGTTCCATTGTTGATGAGTTCATAGTGTTTCTGATGAGGTGCAGCTGCCTGCGTTGCCAGCAGGTGGCTCTGTTGTGTCAGGCTGTCACAGAGACCAACAGACAAACAGGATGATTGAATCTTCTTGCTTATGCAAAAGGCAGAAAATCCTCATCTGTCTATATGTTGACTCAGCGGGTTGGGTGTGGAGACCCCCCAGCTGAGTACACTCTCCAGTCTTCCACAAACAAAACCTCTCTCAGGTCAGTTCCTGCGTTTGGTTCCCTGCATCTTGACTGACAGGACACCCTGTCAGCTGGATTAACTCAGTTGAACTCCCGTGTAACCTCCCGGGACCGTCCCCCTCCCCCCCACCGACTGCTATCCGCAGTTCCCATGATGCTAAACTGAGTCCAGGCCAATGCAGAGAGGAATGACCCTCGCTCACTCTGCGCTGGATACTAGGAAGAGACCCACTGATGTCCCACTCAGCACTGAGTCATGGCATGGCAGCGTGCAAGGCAGCACACATAGTTGGAGAGCAGCAGCTGGCTTTTTATCAGGGCTCAAACAAGACAGTAATTCATCATGGACTATATTTGTTGAACAATGCTATTCGCCTGTGTGTGTGTGTGTGTGTGTGTGTGTATTCATATAGTGGCAGTAATGTGTACTCGGAGAGCTCTGCACGTGTTGGGCACATGCAGCTTATGCAAGAAGTTACACGATGAGAAAAGATTAGACTTTCTCATAGACGTGTGTGTGTTTGATAGTGCTGAATTTTGAGCGCCCCTTCTCCTTCTTGTGTAACATGTCTGTCATATCATGAGCCATTTGACCCGAGCGATACATGTGACTCCCACGAACTACTAAATCAGAAGTTCAAAGAAGGACTGGAGATGTGTCACACTGATACAGTAGACCGTACCCCCTCCTCATCCTGGATCCTGGAATGACCCGCCGTGGAAGCAGTCCTGCAGGAGTACATCTGAATTATCTGGTTGAATTTACAAATTAGCCTTGAGATTGAACTGTGGATTCCTTGAGAAAAGTCCCTGGCCTCGTTCTGGGGCGTTCTACGCAGCAACATCTAATTTGATTCCTTGTGACACGTCGTCTGCGAGGGCCAAGTCCTGTGTGTCCTGGATGAGCTTCCATCTTTCCTGCATTGTGTGTGTGTTTGTGTGCGGCTGCCAAATCCTCTACGGATCCCATATTCAGCTCACATGTTTCCTGTCCCAGACGGCGACCCAGCCACAACCCCCCCAGCAAAGCACACTGAGCCTGTCTGTGTTTCTTGTCTGTACCTCCACGTCTGGTAATCTCCCTAATAAACACTTAAAGCCACAACAACATCAGAAAATATGTTTATCCTACAATTTGAGCTTCACTGTGCAGAATGATGTGTGTGCAGAGCTGCATATGTACAGTATGCAACCATTGCCAACAACATGCATTCTATCTAGCGGCCAGCAGGGGGCAGCTCCATTGGCTGCAATAAAAACAGATACCATGCAGTGTTATGGAGAAATAAGCCGACTTCTCAGTTGATTTAGGAGCTCAGTAAACAGTTTCGTAATGAGTTTATGGTCTCAATCGCAGGCTGTTTGTATGTACAGTAAATGTATGTAATACATCTGCCCTCAGAAACACTCTGCTCCAGTTTCATTGGACGCAAAATTAGCATACGTCCCAAAAGTACCTACACCCGGAGTGTAGGTGACTCATAGCACAAGACATATGTGATAAAACACTTACACATCTATGGGGAGGTTAATACTGTCTAGAGGGGATCTTTAACACAGTAAAAGTCATTTATCAGTCTTAAAATGTGTTTCAACGTACAGAATCTTTATATCTCAAAATCAACACCATATTTTGCAGAAACCCCCAGACTTCCTGTCTCGAAGAGGATGCTACCATATGTGGTCTTCTTCGCTCCAGATGTTGCTCCGCAGGAATTTAGTTAAAGGCACAAAAAGCATAATATGAACATTTTCCATTAGAGTTGTGGATCTGAAATAAAATAAGTTTAAACAAGCCAAAAAAACACAACTGGCACAATGGGACTGACTGTACAGCAACCCTCCTGTCTTAAAATGTACCAAATGATATGTTACTAAAGCTGCTATAATCATCAACAGTGGATCAAATTACTACGTGTATGTCAAATGAGTCGCTCAGAGTGACAAACAGATAATTATTGGACTTCCCTCAGACCTACGTAACGTTTTACTGTCTTTTAACAAATGGTATGAGTTTTATGGTTGGCAACTTTACTGTTTTGATTCACTCTCACTGCGTTCTTCAGTTGTGTTTCTACACTCTAGATGCAACAGGCAACTGTTTTCAGCAAGATAAATAATTAAAATCATTGATAAACCCACTGTACAGTAGCTGTACAGTAGCTGCTCAGCACCAAACAGCAGACAGGCCACATTAGCGACGTAGCTGGTGGGCGTAGCGGAGCATGACATACTTACAGCTCGGACAAACTTAATTTCAAATGAAAAAGAAACAGTAATCACATTTTCTCCACTGGAACGGCTCTCTGGAGGGCATTTCATCACGTTTTCTCCACTGGAACAGCTCTCTGGAGGGTATTTAATCACATTTTCTCCACTGGAACGGCTCTCTGGAGGGTATTTAATCACATTTTCTCCACTGGAGCGGCTCTCTGGAGGGCATTTCATCACATTTTCTCCACTGGAACAGCACCCTGGAGGGCTAACATTCATTGACCTACAGCAACATGTGTGTAACGCAGCACAAACCACCCGCACGCAAAGAGTAAACTTCGGCCCTTTTCTGTTCCCGTAAGTTTATCTTTCCATCTTTCTATTGTTGGGATGCAGCGAGAGCCAGGGGACCTGGAACCTTCTGGAAGCATCCATCATCAGTGTGTTGTTGGTGAGATGCAGGGATGACTGGAGGCCGTTACTTCAGTGTCTGGATTCTGACTTTCTTTTGGATCAGCTGCAGCGAGCCGTCTGTTCTAATGGTTCGCTCAGCTAGAATGCATATATCCTCGAGTAATGATCAGTAATAATCGAAAAACTGGCTTAGGAACCTCTTGGGGGGGGGAAAAAAGACCTTTCTTATCTAAATTTCACTTTCTATCTTACACACCACACACACACACACCACATACATTACAAGCACGACGGCGAGCATTGATCACTATCAGACCTCCTACACTGTGGCTGGTGGCACACAGGCCGCTGTGTGGTTGTGGCCGTGTCAGTATGGACACATAGAGGAAATTCTTCCCTCCCAATTTCCCGGGACTGAACTGGGAGTGACCTGGTTGGCAGACACACAGCCCCGATGGAAGGAATGTAACTCAACTCCCCCCGCCTCACCCTCAACTCCCCGCCCCCCCCCATCCATCCATGCTGGCCCAGCTGTGTGAGGACACAGAGAGAAACATACAGTACTGTAGGATGAGAAGGATG